AGCAGGAAGAAGAGGATGCTGAAGGAGAGCGGGAGCACCCAGGAACGGTCCAGCTCCTCTGCCAAGGACAAGCTGCCTGCCAAGAAAGCCAGTAAAATAAAGGAGGTCAGCGCGAAAGCTCCTGCCACCCGAAAGCAGGCTGCCGTGGAGAGGAGCAACAAGCTGGCCAGAAAAATGTCTTTGAAAGAGAAGAGAGCCCCGAAAAGGCAGCTGGAGAAAGTGCGGCTCCCCATGCGGAAGGGCAAGGAGAACACGAGCAGACGGGCCGTGCTGCCCCCCAGCCACGAGGAGCTGGCCAAGTCCCCAAAGCAGAGGCCCCTTGGAGAGTCCTCGACTCGGTCACAGAAGATGGTCAACAAGAAGCCCAGCAGTGGGAAGACCCTGACGAGGTCCATGAAGAAGATGCAGGAGAGCAGCGGGTCGCAGGGCAAGAGGAAGCTGCGGGCAAAAGTGGACTGTTCACACAGCAAACGCTCACGGCTGGACCCGAAATAGCGAAGAACCGGTAGCCATGTACAAAACTGGTGTATAGTAGTAACCCTTTACCATGCATTAACTAAAGCTGCTTTTATAAGCTGTAGCAAGCCTTTAAAAATCCGCAGTTAAAGGATAACGCCCATGATGTTAGGCATCGACAGATGTGTCTCGGACAGAGAAGGTCGGCCTGTCTGGCTCTGCTGCTCAGAAGGAAGTTTCTGCAGTTTGAACGTTCCTTGGGTTTTTTTAAACTTGGAACCAGGCAGTTTTAGTTAAAAGTACAGTGCCTTATTTATCACTTTAAAAATAAAAATAAGAAGCTCGTCTGTGTGATTTGGAGGCTTGCATTTTATACTTGAGGCACAAGCACTTGTACTGTAGCAGAAAGAAAACCACCTTCGTGCACATGAAGTAGCTTTCGGCAGCCTTTGGGTGCACACAAACATTTCCCTTTCCTTCAGAGTCCTCCTTCTGTCTTGTCTTCATAGTGGCATTTAAAGCAAAACCAAAACCATTTCCCATCAGTGAGGAAGAGAAAGGTGAATCTGTCCTTTTGTCGGGTTGTTGGTAGCAGCTGCTGGTGTCCCGTGCTGTTTCCTGCAAAGAAGTGTTAACTAGCTACCGGTGTGCGTGCTGCTGATGGCCACCCCGCTGCCCCATTGCACAGCCCTTAGGGTGGGGAGGTCCTGCTTGGGCAGAGGCGGCGGAGGACATGCTGTGGGTACCGGGCTGTTGCATCCACTGCTGCCGGCCAGGCACACCGGGTTGTATCCGTCTTTATTTCTTGCTGGCTTCAGGGATTAATCGGTCCTGCCGTGCCCTGCTTTTGGACAGACCTCCTTCTCCTGTTTTGCTGTGCTCGTGGTGATTTCTGTGGTCTCTGGTAGCAAAGCAGTGTCCGCAGCGCTTTGCTGAAGGTTGAATCTCTCCCCTCTTATGGACTCGAGCTCCTTCTGATGTTGGTGCTCTGCAGAAGAGGGGTCCTGGCCCTTGCTCTGTGCTCTTGCACTCCTCTTGCCTAGCACCCTCCTAAGCCAGGATTTGCAGTTGGGATAAGGGACTGACCTAAGTTTATATTTTTACTGTAATTTGCCTTTCATGCTTTTACGAGCAAGGTGCAGTTCATTTGTCCTTGCTTGTGTCTGGTGCTGTGGAGTCTGAAAGCAGCCGGGCCTCTGCTCTGCCCTGCACAACACCCGTGCAGGGCTGTGCAGCGCGTTTAAAAGCAGGCTGGGGATCTGCGGTGGCAGAACAGGACCACGGTGCCCAGCACCTCTGGGAAAAACCTGTTGGAGGTGCCCAGAGCGCATGGCTCTGCTGGGCAGAGATGCTGGATGTGGAAAGCAGAAAATCATCTATATCTTTCATGGTACCCTTTTAGAGGATGAAAGAAGGTGTTTGAGATTCGCATGCCCTTCACAGAGCACCTCTGCCTCTCTTGCAGGTATTCCCTTCCCCCAGCGCTGATGCGCACAGGCTGCGGCACGTTTTTCTCTTACTATGAAATGGCTGATTTAAAAATAAAAATCGTTTACCTTTCCTTTGAATCATGCTAGAATAAGTTAACTCTCTGAACAGCTAGGAAGTGATTAAATCTAGCCTGTCAGTCCCTGTACAGATTAATATGAAGTTATCTATTACTTTAATTTTTACTGCATGCATTAAATATGTCAAACATTCCCTTAGAAAAGTTTTAAAAGCATTTCAGGAGCGGTGCAAGGCAGGAGGGCACTGACGGCAGTCAAATGACAGGTATCTACCTTTCTCACAAGTTGTCTTTCCCTCTTGCTTCTCCATCCGTACTCACAGTCCTGCTCTCACCTCTGGCTGGGGCAACCTCTCCCTATGGCCCGGGATTTCTCCTCCTTCTCCTGCCTGGATGTGCATACAAGCACCCCTCTTAACCTGCACTTGGTTGTCTGTCTGCCCAGATACTAAAAGGACAACCAGGTTCCTCCCACACCCTGGGATTTCGAGTCTTGGTCTGTAGCTTTCTGTCACACCACTGTGTTTCAATGTAGTTGGATGGAGATGTCCTGTGCTGAAGGCAGGTCCCTATGAGACCAAGCCCTGTCAGCAGACACTGTAGGAGTTGCAGGGCTCCTGGAGGGAGCAGGGTGGCATTGGCAGCGCTGGGCAGCGCATGTGGCCTGAGACACAAAGCATCTGCAGCTTGTCCCAGGCTCCAGTCACCTCAAGCCATCAGTTCTGGAGGATGCCAGAGGCGTGCAGCAAGCCCTGGCTTTCCCACGTTAGGTGCTGCAAAAAGTCCTGCACAAAAAGTAACACTCATGAAGTCTGTGCAGAGCCTGCTGGCAGTTAACAGGAGCTGGGCTGTGCCTCACAAGTGAAAATCTGAATTTCTGCACTCTTTAATGAGGAGAGGTAGAGGGTGTGTTTTGTGTCAGGACGGGCTGAAAAGAAGGTGCTGGGCTGAGCTGTGGGTTGTTATACTTGTCTTCAGAAAGCAAATGAAGAGAAAGCAACTAATTCTGAGATTTTTTTTTCAAAGCAAAAGAAAATTAAATACAGTTTTCCCAGACTGCTGCCTGGGACCAGCCCAGGCCAGGCATGTACTGCGTGCCTGGCTCCAGAGCAGCACCTTGGCATCTGCAGGGACTTAGAGCAGGAGATTTGCAGGACACACCAAGAGGGGCTGTCCCAGGGGGTGAGGTGATCTGGGGTCTTGTCAGCAGGGACCCCCCGGTCCTGTCTGTCCTTGGGGCTGATCCCTGGCTCCACAGCCTCTGCAGGGCTCTCCCCAGCTGGATACATGAACCCTGCTCAGAGCAGCTCCGCTCTCTGCCGCCTTCTCTCCTCCCAGCAACTCCCCTTTATTTAAAAATTACTATTTTGAGGGAAACCGGGGTGATTGTTCTCACACTGAGCATTTTCCCCCACACCTGCTGCCCTGGGGGTGGGTTTAAGTCCCGCAGGTAGTTTTTATGGAGAGCAGGCTTGTTTGCCAAGGGATGGGTAGGGTGAAGCCATCACCTATGGGTGAGTTATTGCAGCAAGCACTTGGGGGCTGACCTCTCCAGCCCACCTTGAGGTGCGAATATTGGTGCTCTGGTATAAGTTCTCTGAATTTCAGATTCATGCAGTCCTTTGGGTTACCCCAGAGGAGGGTGCCCCAGGGGTGAGGTAAGCCAGGGGTGGTTGTCATCTCTAGAAAAGCATCTGAGCAGCTTTCTGCTCGGAAGAAACCCCCAGCTCCTTGCTGGGCTGCTTTTCTTGCTGTCACTGCTCCGGGAGGTGCCGTCTTTGGCCCCTCTGCCTCTCCTTGTGCATTTTCCACTTGACACCGGTAGCAACTTCCAGGTCTTGCTGACTACAAGACCTGCTTTTAGTGTGTTTTGTACTTGCTTTTGTGAGTGCTTTGTTTTGGGGCAGGAAGGAAGGATGCTGTAATATGCTAGAGAAGTAAATTTCAATTTCATTTGCTAGCAAATTAAAGGGTCTGCCTGTGAGGTGACCGCCTGGCAGGGTGGCACTGCCTGGATAGCTCCGTCTTTTTTTATCAGTGCTGATGATTGAATTCCTGTTTTTCTCCTTTTCCTATTTTTCCTGATCAGTTCTCATGTTGCATTACTCTCTTCCCAATTTACTTCTCAATTTTCTCCCTCCATGCAGCCACATTTCAGCTAGAGCAATGCACAGGAGATGCAAAAATAAGTAGGGTTATTACCATGTATATACAACCTGTTGCTCTTTGTTACTGACTTGGGACATGCACTGCTTGTTTCGGCTTGCCCTGCAGCAGTGAGGTGTGCTGCTGAGGCATGGCCCCTGCTTTAGAGCAGCCTGTTCTCCATAAATGCAGCTTCTATGCAAGCAAAGGATGCACAGGGAGCTGCAGAGGATCTTAATGAGTGGAAGGAAATAAGCAACACAATTTATCACCTTATTCAGTGCGTTTTGGTTTGCTGTGGTGCCGAGCTGCCCACTGGCACTACCACAGTGCCATCCTCAGCTCTGCAGCCTCATTGCGCTCCTCCTCCGGGCCAACCCACAGCATCCTGCTCTGTGTCTTCAGCTCCAGATTTCGGCACTGTGTCCCACAGAACAGCCTTCTCCTCTTCCTGTTGCTTTGGCTTTCCTTGCTGTCTCACCCTGCTCTTGACACTGCTCTCCATCCCAGCTCCCCGGTCCGTGCAGCAGGGGCAGCATCTTCTTAGCTCTGCACCACCACAGAAGCCATAGTGTCGTTATGGTTGGAAAAGACCTTTAAGGTCGTCAGGTCCAGCCGTTACCTGACTCTACCATGCCCACTTCCAAACCATGTCCCTGAGCACCATATCTAAATGGCTTTTAAATACATCCAAGGATGGTGATTCCTCCACTTCCCTGGCAGCCTGTCCCAGTCTTTGATAACCCTTTCAGTGCAGAATTTTTTCCTCATATCCAACCTAAACCACCACTGGCAAAACTTGACAGCATTTCATCTTGTACTATTGGTTGTAACTTGTGAGAAGAGACCCACATGTGCCTCTCTATAGCCTCCCTTCAGGTAGTTGTAGAGAGCAATAACGTCTCCCCTCAGTCTCCTTTTCTTCAGTCTCCTCTGAAGACTGAACAGCCCCATGTCATAGGACTTATGCTCCAGACCCAAGTCCCCTCAGTCCCTTTGCTCTCTTGTTCGTGTGGTTACCTTTTCCTCTCTCTCCTTGTCATCGGCAGCTCAGGGTCTTCACACTTCTCATGATCGGGAACCATCCATCTTACCTGACGTCCTGGAGCGGCTGGATTTGGCAAGCTAAGAGTGAAAATTTATCTGTCAAGGGGGCTGAGGGCTGCATCAAGAGCCATTTGAGCCCAGGATGGCTCCTTCTATCTGTAGCCATTAGGTTCCTGTCTAGCAATGCTAGCCCTGGCGTGGGTTTTTCTCTGCTGATGGGAAGCATGCAGTATATCCAAGGGGTGCACATGTCTATATTAATCACTAATTAATCACTAATGAGGTCCTTTTTGCTCACATCTGCTCCGTGCACTGGTGTTTCTGTGTTCAACTACCAACACCTCAATGAGATGCCTTTGCAGCAAACCTTCTCCAAGGAGCTGTTTAGTCAGCCCTGATGCTTTTGGCAAACTTTCCGCTGCATTGCTGGTCTGTCCCCCGTGAGCTGGGAGAGCAGGATGGACTCATCCCTCCTGTGCCGGAGGAAGCCACGCAGCACTGGACCGAGGGGGCTGGCCGGCTGCCCCAGCTGCTGGTGTGCAGATGAGCCCAGCTTGTGTCCCGGCTGCTCACACAGCACCTCTGGAAACGCTGATGTTTCCAAAAGCTCTGCCAGCCCCTAGTAACCTCCCAGAAAACAGAGACGCAATCTCAGAAGGACACGGAAGTGCTGCTGCCCTGCTCCCACTGATGGACAGTTCCTCTCCAGCTCGTATTCTTTCAGCCTGGTCACTGCATTCCCAATTGAAGGCGACTGGGAACGCTGTGGTTCCCAATCTCCTGCAGGTATGGGCAGAACCTGGGGCAGCAGGGACGTGCGAACTGCTCGGGCTCTCACCTTTCCACCGCCGGGAAGAGGGAAGAGCCCCAGCCAAGGCTTCCTCAGGTCCTGGATGGCCCTGGGTAGGCTCCCCCCTGCTAGGGAACCCCACTGCAGCTTTTCTTACAGTGGTAGGTTTGTGCGAGCAAACCGCAATGAGGCTACGATGTCCCCCGCGTCGCGCGCGTCCCCCTCCGTGTGTTGTAGCGTCCGTTCGGCCCATCCCTTAGCTTGGTGGTTGTGAAATGAATCCATCTGTTCTAAGATGTTCTCAGGAGTTCTTGTTTGTATTAAGCTCACCCCTAGGCTTAGCAGAAATCACAATCCCCGTCCTTCGTCCTCCTCTCCCCGTGGACAAGCCCTCTCTTTCACGAGCACTTCCACCCCCTCCCCAAAAGGCGGCGGGGGGGGCAGCTGGTGGTTTCGATTCAGGGCATGTTGGCAGCTTGGGGGCAGCCGGAGGAGCTGGGGTGCAGCCGGCCGGCGTTCATGGCATGGGGCCAGGGGCCGGGTGGTCCCTCGGGCTGCACTGCTAGCCAATGTTTTCTAAGTCTGTTTGTAAGAGTACCTAATTTTAAAATGAAATGTGAATATATATTATGTGTAGGTGCCATGTAAGATAGTGTTGTGCTAGGCAGCAGGATGCTAACCTACTTTTAAGCTTTTTTGGGGCAGGAAAAAAGCGTTTTTCTCTTACTTCACAGATCTAATATTGTAAATAGATTTTTTTAAATATTTATTTCATGGGCTTTCCACAGATTCTTGTTCTGACTGGTGTGTCGGTTGGTGGGGCTGTACAGCCCAGTGTGCCGCAACCAAAGGGCTGGCTATTGCGTGGGGGGACGGGACGGGACGGGATGGGATGGGGCGGGGGGTGCGGTGGTGGTGTTTGGTTGGGGTTTTTTATGTCACGTCAAAGTTGAAGCATTAACTCTTTCTCTTCATCTCATGTTGATGATGTCAGATCTGGCCAATGCCACGGTCCCCGCCGGGCCGGGGAGCAGCC